TAAGATATAAATTTTAATTAAATTTCTTAATAAATGTTACTGCTCCCAAATATTTTGACTCAGTTTAGAAGAAAATTTCAAAACAAAACAAAACTTTAAACAATTATTTGCTTAATATAAAGAAGAATGAGAGGTTATACCATCGATTATAGTAGAGTATGAAAAAATAATCTGACTATTTAATTAATTTTTTCAAGAGTTCTTTACAATTTAGGCACAAAGTCTAAAAGAAAATACAAGATAAATTGAAAGATTTGATGGAAATCACTATAATTAGAGGTGCATACACATATTTAGACCTACCAAAAAGTTTGGATGGATCAAAAACACAAATGTTGGCTTCTTTATTGAAAGTTTAGTACTAAGCTGAATGGATGGAGAGTTGTTTTCTGCACAAGGAGGAAAAGATGTCTTAACTAAATCAGTAGTAACAGCAATGCCAATGACATGTAGTGTCATGTTTTAGACTTCCAAAATTAGTAAATAAATGTACAAGTGCAATAGCACATTTTTGGTGGGGTAAAATGGAAATACAAAAGGTATTCATTGGTTCTCTGGGGATAAATTTTTTCATGACAATACATTCCAAGACATTCAAGATTTTAATATGGCTCTTTTAGACAAACAATTATAAGTAAATGCTCAAATTCTTTGTTTGTGAAGGTTTTCAAAGGAATATATTATATTAAGTCTGATTCAAGAGATCCAATCAAATCATAATCGCCATCTTGTAGTTGGAGGAATATTAAATCCGTAGATATCTAGTTAATAAATGACTAAATAAAAAAGTGAGAACATCACAATTCATCTATGTATGGGATGGTTTAGGGGTGGGCGTTCAGGTTCGGATCAGGTATTTTGGATTTTCGGATATTTCGGTATAGAGTTATAGAACCCGTTTGGGTATTTCTGTACTTTGGGTTGGATTTGGGTATTTTTAGTTTGGGTTCGGTTATTCCGGGTCGGGTTTTCGGATGTTTAGGTTTTGAAAGAAAAAAATTCAAATTTTAATTTCTCAAGTTTCTTGTTTTTAAAAATATAAATTTCACTTAACTGATTCTTTTATTATTTTTAGTAGATTGAATTATTAATAGATTTGGAGATAACATTTCAAAAATAAAAAGACACTAATTTGGTTATTGTTTATAAATTTTAGATGTAATTTTGTTAATGTATGAAACAAAAAGCTTGGAATGCATTTGAAGTGAGTATCAAATCATTTTATCCTTAATTATATTTATATAATATCATTTTAGGGTATGCGTAACATAAATATATAGATATTTAAAATAAAATAAGAGATGTAAACTAGAAATATGATGTAAGTGTACATATGTTCGGTTATTTTTGGATATCCATTCGGGTTTGGATATTACCCGTTCGGGTTTAGATATCTAATATCTCCTAATTCAATATCCGCTCGGGTATTTTGCTACTTCGGTTCGATTTCGTTCGGGTTTTTTTGGGTCAGATTCAGGTGCGGCTTCGGATATTGGGTAAAGTTCTCAGGCCTAGGATGATCAGTTCCCAGGCCTAGGATGATCCATGGATCTTTTCTCCTCGTTCGAGATCAGCATTACCAAAACACCAACACCTGTTTCTAAACCTAACACTAAAGGCATACATCCATCCAGAGAATATTAAAATTATTTAAGGTATCGCAGTTAGCTGCTTCCAAAAACCAGATTCACTTGGAAGGAATTTCAATTTTTTTGGAAAAGACATAGTTAAATCGAGTACAAAACGTAAAATTAATCCAAGTATAGATGCACGACCTCTTTACTATGGCTCAAATACAAAGCCACTACTAGCTTTTACTTGAAAACTAAAATGTTCTCCAAAATTAAAACTTTTATATGGCAAGTAATATTCAAAACCCTCCTTGTTACAAACACCTTAAGGTCACATGGGATACAATGTGAAACATAATACATCATTTGTGAAGCTGGGGAGGAAATAGTTAATCATGTTTTTTTAATGTTTACCAACCATTCAAATATGTGACTTATCCAAGATATTCTCCAACCAAAGAATTTCTCGATCGTTGATATTCACAAATATGGATTATTCATTTTAGAGATTATCAAAGACTACGATTTAGTTATTTTTTGTGGATCATGTGATATATCTGAAAAAAAAATAGAATGAAAAGATTTATAAAAATAAGGATGAAAATCCACACGAGATTTTGCAATATGCGAAAATTGAAGGAACCTTATAAGCTGAGGCTCAACTACATGACATAGACAATATATAACGTGAAGAGGCCTACAATTCATGAGCATGGAGATACATGTTGGTATTATATTGCTGGAACATTGAAAGAAGTAGACAAGTTCACATGACATGGATGGTTTTGCAATCGAGGAGGAACTGAACATCAGGTTATGGGAAAACGAATATATGTGGCCAAGCCCGTCTTAGCGTTATAATAGACCTTTGGACACAAAAATAATTTGGACCCTTTTTGTGAAGAAAAAATAAAATTTTGGACCCATTTTTTCTACAAATTTATGTGATTTTAAGATGGACCCTAGGCAATTGCCATATTTTCCACCCCTATAAGCCGTCACTGTATGTGACAGCCTATCACCTTTATATGCAGAGTGTGAAACATTGATTTGGACTATGTAACACATAAAACTCTTAGAATCACATATTTAGTTTTTTCAACAGATTGTTTTCAGATGATGAATATAGTGGCTACACTAACAGAATGGTCATCCTTCACTTCACACATGGACAAAATTGTGATGATTTACGGATTTTTTCGATAATCTTTTCCATCCTACATAGATCAAAGCACATAATACCATGACCGAAAAAATTTCACGAGTGTTTGGTATCCACTATTAGCTGTATGATATGTTGATTTCCTATCACAGATTTGACCACCGATTTGGCTTTCTAAATCATATTGTTTTTTCATCTTAAATAGATTATATATGTGTCAAAAAAAAAAAAACTGCATTCCATCTTATATGTTACACTGAAAATGATTAAATTAACAAAGCATTTACACATCGATTGATAAATCCTGGAGAAGATGTCGATAGACTACACAATAGTTCCATCTTATATGTTCATCACGCACATTTATATGGAATTTTTTTTAATATGAAAATTTTTAATTACATGGACTAGATTTTCATGAAATAAAGTATTGAACATGTCACTTACTCATATGTGCTTCATCAGTATCCACGAGATTATATACAACACACAAATTAGGCATGAGAATTTTAATCATAGCCCACATGCCCCGCCTCGTTTGATCTGCCGCGGGCGGATATGGATTGATCGATTTGAGGAAATTAAATCGTGGGTGCGGATGAAGTGTATTTTATGAGGAGCGAGTTGGTCTAACTTAAATCGTGGATATCCGCCAAAGAAAAAGATTTTTCTAAGTTTATTTAAGTATTCTTTCGCATACAAATATCAGCTTAAAAAATAAATTTCGTTAAAAATAACTAAAATTTACAAAAATAAAAATATTTAATAACAGTATAATATTATTTAAGAGAAAAGAAATAATTAATTATTTTTATTATTTAATAATTACCTTTTATATGTAAAATTAAGCGAACGGATAAAATATATTTCCTTTGCTGATCAGGTATGTTAAATTTGTAAATAGAACTTTAATCCTCTCGGATACATGTAAGCTATAAACCAACAGAGTTACAGAAGACTTTATTCAATAAATGGTCGAACATTTATTTAACTTTCGAGAAAGCTGTAAATGCATACTTCTATAGTTTCCCCTCAAGACTGGTACTGCATGCATACACACATTGCGGCTTTGTGAGGGAGATTCAAAACTCATAATTTTTTATCTACTGATTATTATACTTTAAATATCAAAATCTTTGTATTTATTCTCCAAGATACATGTGTTTTAAGTCTGTATTATTAACTACTATAATTGTACTATTGATGTGTACAATAAAAGGATGGACGAAAATGTATATAAACAGAGAAAACTAACGTGACTTTTGGAGTGTCATGACAATGATTAATTGTAGTTCAAAAAAAAAAAAGAATGATTAATTATTACACAATCCCTTAAACAACGAGAATTCGACCAAAAAAAGCACCAACTTTGCACGTTGAACAATTTTGACTTTCGAATTAATTAACGATGTTTGGCCGAATTCTTTAAACAACGAGAATTCGGCAAAAAAAACACCAACTTTCGAATTAATGTGTTAGTAGGTACATTGAATGTGCCACTAGCCCAGTGGTAAACTACCTTGCAATTTAATCTAACTAATCCGGGTTCGAGTCCAGTGGTCTACGGCTTTTTATTTTCAAATCGCTTAAAACGACGTCGTTTCATCCTAACGGCAACAATTAACAACGTTAATTTTTTCTGTTAAATTTGTTGACGGCGTGCCAAATTGGCAAGTCAACGAAAACATTGTTAATTAATTCGAAAGTCAATAAAAAGTTTACGTTTTTTTGGTCATGCCAAAAGTTCAGGTTTCTTTTGGCAATTCGTGTAAAATTCGTGTTTTTTTTGGTCGAATTCTCCTTAAACAACCATAGCTTTGTGGAACCATATATTTCTTAGTTATTGCCAAAATTGATTATATTATGTCTCATTATTGACTCTATTTGTCTCTTGCTATAGACTTGTGAATATTACATCCTCGGATAAGTTCTAATTTCAGCCTTATTTTTACCTGGAAAATGCTTATAATATTGTATCAAAACCCAATATATTCACACCAGATATATATAATAAAAAACTGTCAAAAATAATTGAAGAAAGGCTGCCCATGTGGGCACTTCCAAGCAATCTCCAGAATCGATGCTTCAAATACATTGGATGTTTACTAAACAACACAAAACGAACAAAAAACACCCACAAAACAAGATCAGACGACCCAATTTTTTTTATAAACACACAACTTCTCTCTTTTTATAACCTATTGTCTCATTTGTTTCTTCAACTTTCTAGTCTTCCTCTATCTTTTTTCAATATCTAGTTTGAAGAAATGGATCTGTCAAGTTCAAGTGAATCACTTATTGATGATCTTCTAGAAGATTACTGGTTCTTTGAGAACTTATTTAGCAGGAGATCGAGAGTCTTAAGGTATTGTCACTCGGATCCTTACCCTTCTTCTTCTTCTTCTTCTTCTTCTTCTTCTTCTTCTTCTTCTTCTTCTTTGACTTCTCCTGAAAAATCGGGAGATTCAGATGAGAGGAAGTCTTTAGAAGCTTCCACAGGGAGATGTTTGAACAGGGAAGCTTTTATAGATGGAAGAGAAGGAGGATCCGAGACGAAGCAGTTCTCCGAAAATATTAGGGTTCAAGAACAGACACCGGTTGTGTCTTTCTTGCATAAGAAGGAACGTACTGTTCTTACCAAATCTGGATCTCGGTCGACTCCGGGGAAGATTCAAGAAGCTTCCACAGAGCGCAGTTTGATTCGAGCGCCTTCTTTGCCTCCTCGGATAGATAAAAGAGAAATGGGCTTAGAGGCAAAGAAGATGATCAATAAGCTTACACGGCAGTTCTCTGATAAGATTAGGGTTCTAGAAACAACGGGTGACCGTTTCTTGAATAAGAAGAACATTGTGTTTCCATGCAGAGAAAGGTAATAGTGAGAGGAACAGGAGCGGAGGTGGTAATATTAGTAGTAGCAGTGTCAAGATTAGTTTGCAAAGAACTCAAACGATGCCTAACAACATTAGAAGAGGAGAAGTTGAACTTGACGATCAAGAAACCGGCTCTAGAATGGGATTATTGATTCGTGAAGCTCTCGCTAGCTCACAAAATGTTCAAAAGGTAAATAATATTATTCACTATGTCAAAAAAATGGTTTTGAGGAATATGAAAAGCATAATAAAGATTGAATCTTTAATTCTTGATGTAGGTTTCAGGCAGACCACCAAGAAACTTGAGGTCAGAAGAACCTGTTTTGGTCAAACAAACAAGCCCAAGTCCCAAAACGCTGCGTAAAACTGTAAGTAGCATAGAAACAATCAAAGAGATTCAAGGTTATGATGACCAACTGGTCGAGCCACGTGTTGTGAACGGGTTGGCTACACCACCTAGGGTTCCGAAGGATTCAAGGAAAGAGATGAAGGATCAGATCAAGTTTTGGGCTCGAGCTGTAGCTAGTAATGTCAGACAAGAGTGCTGAAAACTCTTCTAATTGCACTAATTAACTGTGTGTTCTTGTATGGCACTATTCTGTACAGATGTTTTTATCTTGAACTCTTTATGTGTTTATTTTCTTCCTGACCCTCCTGAAATAATGAGATTCCTCTGTTTATGTGATGATTGTGTTCTTTAATTTTTTTTTTGGGCAAGAAAAAAAGTCATGATTATCATAAAGAAAAGGGTATGAGAGAAAAACAACAAAGAAGAACATTATAATAATCAATTTTTAATTATAAATCATAGTTTCCTAGAAGCATTCGAGTTAAAATATTTATCAGTTTCGATAATATTACACGTAAAAGACGTTGAATCATGTTGGGTTAAATGTTTCTTTAAAAGTAATACGTAGAAGTAACTAGATTGAACAGGTTCTTGATTGCAGAGATCTCTCGTAAGACCAAAACAATAATAGTTTATGTGCATTTATTCAACTTCAAGAAGTTGATGTCAAATGTAATAACCGAGCATCCTCTGAAAGGATATACTAACGCAAAACTCATATTAATTTCCATGAAATCTGATAATGTAAAGTGACAAAAAATATATGATAATATAAGTATGTTTCAGAAAGAGTATGTAATAGTTTGGATAGAGAAAATAATTCAATAACATGTGACCGTTAATTAGGGGCTATTGTTAAAGGACGTGTAGTTTGCTAGCTTCCAACAAAATTAATTAGGCAAATTGTTATTTAAGTCACCAATTTTCAAATTTAGTTAAAAAAAAGCATGAATTTTCTTTTGGATTATTTAAAACATAAATTTACTTTGAATATCCATTTTAAACATCAATTTAATTTGATTAAACCAGATTAAACATGACGTTAACTCAACTAACGGATTGATTTAACAGAATTAACCACCGTTTCTAATCTCTATTAAATCCAAACAACGTCATTTTGAACATTTTAAAAAAAATTGTATCTGAAACAATCGAACCTACGATCTAAAGCTACACGACGTTACTTCAAATAGCGGATTGATTTAATAGAATTAACCACTGTTTCTAATCTCTGTTATCCAAACGGCGTCGTTTTGAACATTTAAAAAAAATGTATCTAAAAAGAATCGAATCTATGACCTAAAGCTACACTAATTGTACCCCGAACCACTAGACAACTTACATTTTTATTAACTTGAATAAATACTAATAATATTATTATTGAATCTACAAATCATTTCTTTGTTCAATCAAAGAATAATAGTATTGAAGTCAAATTAAAAAAAAAAAAACAGTTGACCAGAAAATCAAGCATAAACAAATTCAATAATCCCTCAGAACTGGTAGATTATTATCAAACGTAAACAAATTCAAGAACCCATCCCACTTTCGCCAAAAAAAAAAAAAAAAAAAAAAAAAAAAAAAAAAAAAAAAAAAAAAAAAAAAAAAAAAAAAAAAAAAAAAAAAAAAAAAAAATTTTTTTTTTTTTTTTTTTTTTTTTTTTTTTTTTTTTTTTTTTTTTTTTTAAAAAAAAAAAAAAAAAAAAAAAAAAAAAAAAAAAAAAAAAAAAAAAAAAAAAAAAAAAAAAAAAAAAAAAAAAAAAAAAAAAAAAAAAAAATCAAGAATCCATCAAAATCAAGTGTAAACAAATTCACACAGATTAGTATCTATACATGCTCATAAGTGAATCTGTGGATAAAGTAAGTGAAGCAGAGACTCATGGAGAACATGCTAGTGGACAAGGGACTCGGATGACGAGAGGATTCACGATCCACTTTTTAAAATTTAAAAACGATGTTATTTAGTTTAAGACAGATTGATATCTATACAAGTTAATAAAATTGTATGTAGTCTAGTGGTTAGGCTTTGCTATAATCTTGTACCTTTGTTTTATGTGAAAAAGTTTCTCAGCTACACGAAGTTTACACTAATATGGTAAAAATTATCCAATGTATAACAATGTGTCAAGAACTACACGAAGTATATGTTAATACTTGCCACATGTACAAAGTAAATGATATTATGGTGGCAACATCACAATCGGATTTAATTGTTCTTAAGCTAAGTTAATGGGGTCAATCCGTAATTTATGAAACTTAATAAATTTAATTGATTTTAATTATTAAAGTTAATAAAATTAATAAACTTAATAAACATAATATTTTTTAAAAACTTAATAAAATTAATAAACTTAATATTTTTTGTTAAACTTAATAAATTTATTAAACTTTATAAAATTATTAAACTTCATAAACTTAATAAACTTAACAAACTTAATAACTTATNTTAATAACTTATTAAGTTTATAAGTTATTAAGTTTTTTAAGTTTATTAAGTTTATGAAGTTTAAAATTTTTATTAAGTTTAATAATTTATTAAGTTTAATAATTTTTGTAAGTTTTTTAAAAAATATTATGTTTATTATGTTTATTAATTTTATCACATTTTTTTAAAATATTATGTTTATTAAGTTTATTATTTTATTAACTTTAATAATTAAAATTAATTAATTTTGTTAAATTTCATAATTTACGGATTGACCCCATTAACTTAACTTAAGATCAATTAAACTCGATTGTGATGTTGCCACCCTAATATCATTTACTTCGTATATGTGGCATGTATAACATATACTTCGTGTAGTTCTTGACACATTTTTATACCTTGGATGATTTCCACCATATTAGTGTAAACTTTGTGTAGCTAAGAAACTTTTTTCCTTGTTTCATGGATTCAAACACAGGGAAGAACACTTTTTTTTTTTTTTTAAAACGAGTTTGAGGGATTTAACGAAAATTAGAAACAGTGGTTAACTCTGTTAAATCGATCCGTTACCTGAGTTAATGTTATGTTTAATCTGATTTAGTCAAATTAAGTAGATATTTAAAATAGATATTCAAGTTAAATTGATACTTTAAATGGTCCAAGAGAAAGTTCATGCTTTTTTAACTAAATTTGAAAATTGGTGATTTAAATGGTAATTTTCTTAAATTTAATTATATTTTTTTACTATTTTTGCGATCCAATCATATTAAATTTGAAAATTTGAAAATTGATGATTTAAGTGATAATTTTTCTAAACTTAATTACATTTTTTACTATTTTTGCGACCCAATCATATTACAAAAAGAGAAACACATTTAACTAACAGACAACTCTCATCAGACTTTACACTTTAACAGATGACAGAAACACAGTAGCTTAGGTCAAATCCCAAAGTAGAAAATGAAGAAACTATGACTTTTTGAAAGAATTAAAAAGAAAACTAAAGTAGGAAAAACAATTTACAAACAAGTAGCCAATTGGTATAGCCAAACAAGTAGCCACTTTTTAAACAAATTACAAATTACTATTCTTCTACTTACTCCCATGTGAAGACCATCTCTACTACGTATTAGTTAAATCACTTGAATATAATTTGATTTAGACTATATAATTTATACTTATTAGTTATGTGGTTCAAACACATGTATAGTAGTTTTTTATTTGGAAAAATGTTAGTCAGGTACACGAAGTTCACCCATCACATGGTTAAGCATACCAAGTTTAATAATGTATAGCCAGCTACACCAAGTATATGTTATGGATGCCAACATCCCCGAACTATATGATGTTATGTAATCAACATCATTAGCTTAATTAAAGTCGAGCGTGAGTGACACATGGACACTCTGACCGTGTCACTCATGAGTTAATAGAGCGTTAACATGTGAGCGAGAGTTAACAGAGAGTTAACAACGTTTATGGTCGGGGTGTCCACGTGTCACTCATGCTCAAATTTAATTAAGCTAATGATGTAGATTACATAACATCATATAGTTCGGGGATGTTGGCATGCATAACATATACTTAGTGTAACTGGCCATACATTATTAAACTTGGCATGGTTAGCCATGTGATGGGTGATACTTTGTGTAGCTGGCTAACATTTTTCCTTTTTATTTTGTCAACACATGTATAGTAGTTAATCATATCACTTTGTCTTTGTTGCGATTTAGTTCTCTCGAATTGTTCCGATGTGGGTTTTAATTGTCGCTTTCTCATAAGCTTTTGATTCTAGGGATATTTCATTTTTCCTTCAGTTTATGTATTAAAACTCATATTCCACTTTGGAATGAATTTTACCTGACGAAAAAAGTATAGAATATATATACAAGAAAATGATATATACACTGGAGTATCTTTGTTGTAAAAGAAAAATTAACATATCAAATTTCAAACATATATTATACCCTCACATTTCATAATGCATGATGTTTTGTCTTAATGCATAAACATTAAGAAATTTACTTTTCTCAAAAATAAAGTTTTAAAGATAATTTAAAAATCATTCAACCAATTACAAAAAGGCTACGACATCTAATTAGTTATACAATATTAAATAAAATTTAAAATAACATAATTATCAAAGTAACACCTACTTTTGAACAACAAAATTTTATAAACTATCATTTATTCTAATCGCATGGAGTATTAAATAAGAGAACATGCAAAGAACTTTCAGACATGATCATCATCATGAATCATGTTGTTTACAGAAATAATCTAACTTTTGAGATGTGACAACACTTGTTTTTATTTTCCTCTGTACAACCGTGAGAATTTCTGCATCCTTTTTGGTTCATTAAAATAAAATAAAAGTGATTATTCATCTAAATTTTGTCTTTTTCAAAACCACTATCCCGGTTTTTTGTCGTTGTCGTATTAACGATAAGTTAGATTATGTATATTGGTAAAAAATATTCAACACTTTAATTTACATTTTTAACATTTCACATCACTTTCTTTTTCTTCCACCTATTTATTCAATATCTATATAATTTTTTACATCTACAATGATTTTCTTTAATAAAATTTAGAGTTAATTTCACGTGGAGGCAATTTTTTAGTTTATTGTCATTCTAAGACGGTTTGTTATACAGAGGCAGTTTTTAAGTATAAAGACTCAAATAGTCCCTCAAAAGGTTGTAACTAGCACCAAAAAGGTGGTATCCTTACGGTTACGTTTAATTGCACAAATTTGTTTTTTTTCAAATTTCG